ATTGCTACTCTTTCTCCCGCATATTCTTGGTCGCGATCTTGCCGGTAGACGGAGAACGACTCTTGAACCAACTGCGGTATATGGTCCGTTATATTCAACCATGTTTCGGTGATTGCCGCTACAGTCATCTGTTATTCCCGGGCCATCTGAGCCAATTCTGCCCATTTATTCCTAACGCCGCATGTATTGGTGTACAGCATGAACATGCTGTCCTTCCTTCCTATGCGTTTCCCATAGACGCTTCTTGCTTGGGCCTCGGGCGCAGCACCCGAGGAGACAGCAAGTTTTTTCCACGGTACTTGTAGCCTGCGGGTCATTTGATGAGCCCTCTCAGCTGGCGGCTCTTTGCTGAACCTTGCTGGAGTTTCAACGTCCCTCGTTTTTCCGCAACAAACAAAATTGGTCGCGCTGGAGGGTCATTTCTATTGGAATTTGGGGGTTTATATGTCTCTACCCAATAGACTGTTTTTATACCTCCAGGATGCAAGATACCTGCTAGACGCAGCATATCTAACACCCACCTACGGTCCAACTCTCGCTTGGTTTTAGCCTCCCTTATATATGGCTCCTCCCGGTTTGGTATCAGAAGCCTACGTCCGGATGACTTGTTCATTGCTGCAGCCACGGGCAGCGAATTTGTTCCCGAACTTACGAGGATGCTCTCCGTGTGTGGTGTTTCTACCTTCCGTGACTCACGTTCAAACACAAGAAGTGCTGCTTCCTTGCAGCGCGTGTATACCCATTCGGCCCAGTTACTCTGACAGTACCTCTGCACTGATACCTGAGCACCTTGGATGGGTCCACCTCTTACTCCCATGTACGCCAGCACCTAACGCAGCATTCTATGCTGTGTTTAACTCAATATGAGTTTCTCAAAAGTAGATCATGTCTGACCATTCTACTGTGCTTCTTGGATGAAGTTATCCGAATATTAGAAGAGGGTACAGGGTAGATGTATGTTATCTTGACTCTAGCAAGGCGTTTGATTCCGTCAAACATCGACTGCTACTAATCAAAATAGAGGCGTTTGGTATAAGGGGACACCATCACGAAGAGACTGCACCTTGATGTGGTGTGATGGCTTGCGCGCCTCAGTGACCCTGCGAGCTACACAGGATGGCTTCTCACAGTCGTAGATCCAATCATGCCTGAAAGGTCAACGGGTAGAGGCCAGACGAAGACCAGTCTCACAAGGCCAGCTGCTTGGGCACCTCC